AAATTTTACACAAAGACCTCGCTCTCAAGGAGGAAATAACAACCTTCTGGTTAGCTATTTGCTAGATACTGACACAGATAACATTTATTTGCACTTCGTACGTGTTCCAACTGCCAAGGCAGTCTGCACGTACTTATACAATACACAAAGTCAAAATACTAATTAAACATGAGGTAGCTTTGGTTAATCTCCACACCCCTCAGAGACCCTCCAAGTATGCTTTTTCACTGCAGCAATTCTTTGCATCTTGATTACTTAACATTTTCTGTATTATATTTCTGCATCTAACACAGAAATTGTTAAATCTTTCAGTGGGTTTATTTTTTTTCTATTCTTCTTCTCATCCTTCACTCTAAGGCAGTGGTTCTCAACCTTTTTAATGCCACGACCCCAACCGGTCGTACGTCGAGGACTAAACCGGTCGTAAGTCGAGGACTAAACCGGTCGTAAGTCGAGGACTTTCCCTGCCCGGGAGTGCCACGCACGCGTGGTTCCGCCCCCTGCGCTGGCCGAGGCGTAGCTGGCAAGCGGCAGAGACGGAGCAGGCCGACCACCAGCTGACCCAGCCCAAGGGAGGTAAGGCACCCACTGGAAAAGGGGAAAAAATGGCAGGGAAAAAAATGGCGGACAAAAAAAATGGCGGACAGCCTTGCTTGGTGACCCCCATGAAATGGTCGATCGACCCCAAATGGGGTCCCGACCCACAGGTTGAGAACCACTGCTCTAAGGATCCTTTCTCAGAGCAATTGTATCGCAGATTGGGAGAAGAAAAAAAGATAGAAGAGAAAAAGATGTTGAAAAATAGGCAAATGTTGAAAAGTCACATTTAGTTTGTGAAACTAGGATGATTTTATATGTAACTAAGTCTGAGTATTTTGTTTTGTGAAAACAGATTTTAAGTTACTGGGTTATTCAGGGCATGGGAAAATGCTTGTGCTTCACTTTGAAATCATCTCTAAATCTCCACAGTATCCATGGCAACTGGATGGGACACCTGAGAACCAACAGAACTTGCAGAATAACCGAGTTGGCAGGGACCTTCTAGCCCAATCCCACGCTGAAGCCAGAAACCCTACACCATTCCAGACAAATGGCTTTCCAAATTATTCTTAAAAACCTCCAGTGATGGAGCACCCAAAACGTCTGGAGCCAAACTCTAACAGTTACTGCTACTGAGACACGTATCCCCTATTCTATACCTGTGCATTCATTTTTTCTTGCCTAACTGTAAAGCCCTATTGTTCTCGCCACTGAAATTCAGAGATAAGTAATAAAAAATATGGCCCCCATGAGATCCTTTGTAGCTGAAGCAGCAGGAAACATTCAATGTAACCAACACTCACAGCTTTTGGAACCCAGCTCTCCTTCTCAACTTCAGTTAATCTTCTGTGTCCCACAGGAATCCTAACAAGGAGTGGTAAGGCCACACTTGGAATCCTGCATCCAGTTTTGGTCACCACAATGTACAAAAGATGTTGAGACTCTAGAAAGAATGCAGAGAAGAGCAACAAAGATGATTAGGGGACTGGAGGCTAAAGCATATAAGGAATGGTTGCTGGAACTAGGTATGTCTAGTTTAACGAAGAGAAGGATGAGGGGGGACATGATAGCAGTGTTCCAGTATCTCAGGGGCTGCCCCAAAGAAGAGGGAGTCAAGCTATTCTCCAAGGCGCCTGAAGGCAGGACAAGAAGCAACGAGTGGAAACTAACCAAAGAGAGAAGCAACCTGGAACTAAGGAGAAACTTCTGACAGTTAGAACAATTAACCAGTGGAACAACCTGCCTCCAGAAGCGGTGAATGCGCCAACACTGGAAGTTTTTAAGAAGAGACTGGACAGCCATTTGTCCGAAATGGTATAGGGTTTCCTGCCTGATCAGGGGGTTGGACTAGATGACCTCCAAGGTCCCTTCCAACTTTATTATTATTATTAACCCTCCATTAAGACTGCAGGGATATTTCCAACTCTGCATATATTCTCTGTCTTCAGAGAAATAGAAATCACCTGGATGAGGGAGGAATACTTCAACGAAAGCCAAATCAGTCCGTGCTTAATCTGAGTGCCACAAAGACCCACCAGGAAGCAGAGCA